AGTAAACCATAGTAAACCATAATCCAAAATATTTTTGGAAACATGTAAACAGTAAACGTTTGTACTGTGAAGTACCAGATACAATGTATTACGGAGATATTATAGCAGCAGATGGAGAACACATTGTAAATTGTTTTGCTTAATTCTTTTACACGGTTCATTCACCTGAATCGCCATTCACTGATCTCAGTGCATTTGGAAATAATAGTAATTTCACCATGCCTAATTTTTCTATCTCTGTTGAAGATATTTTTAATGAAATCATGACTTTCCCAGCGGCCCGGATGGGATTCCTGACTACTTTCTTAAAAATTGTATTTATACACTAACACATCCAATATATATTCTTTTTAAATTATCGCTGGATTCTGGATTTTTTCCTACGTTTTGAAAGCAGTCTTATATTTGTCCTATATTTAAATCAGGAAATAAACAAGATATAACAAACTAATCGTAGTGTATGCAATCAATCTTTTTTGCCAGAACTTTTCGATAATCTAATATGTAACCAGTTAAAATTTTACTGCAAAGAACGTTTAATTGATAACCAACATGGCTTTTTACAGAATGAATCAACTATTACAAATTTAGTGGTCTTCCAACAAAAAATACTATAGAGGATATTAGTTTAATCCAGGACGATTTAAACAATTTAGGTACTTGGTGTAATGATAACAATTTGCATTTAAATGCTAATAAATGTTGTCATATAAGTTTTTATAAAGGTAATAAAAAATTTCAAACGTTCTACTCAATTAATAGCGTTCAGTTGACATATGTAACCTTTGTGAAGGTTTTAGGAGTCATATTCGATGAACAATTACGTTTTGTACGACATATAAATAGTGTTACAGTGAACGCTTCAAAGTCCTTAGAATTTATTTAACGCAACTGCCATGGATTTTCTGTTTGGACCGTACGAACAGTATATTTTGCTCTAGTGGTATCACAGTTTGAATATGCATCTATTGTATGGTCTCCACATCATCAGAACCATTGTACGAGCCTGGAAAGAGTTCAGAACAAATTTCTGAGGTACTGCGCATACAGATCATATATATAAATTAGTAATCATAATTACACAGATATGATGAAATCACTGAATATTGACCTACTAAGGAAAAGGCGGGAAGATTATGATTTGATATTTGTTTTTAAGATTCTCAATGGTTTAGTAAGTTGTCCTGAGCTTCTTGAGAGTATACGCTTATATGTGCCAACTAGAAATCTTCGATACTCTGAACTGTTTCACATTCCATTTCATTGCACAAATTATGGTATGCATTCTCCAGTTGAACGTACTCTGAGAATGCTTAACAATATTTGGTATATCACTTTGTACATTCAAAAAACGTGTAAAGGGAGCTTAATTTGATTGATACTCTCGTTTTTAAACTTGTATAAATATTTTATGGTATATTTATATACTTTTTTTTGTAATAGACACTTTTATATATTGTATATTTTTGTAATGGGGGTGAACCCGTAAATAAATAAATAATAATTTACGCGATAGGTTATATTAAAAATATACTTTGATTACAGTAGAGCATTATTTTTTAAAAATATCTTTAGTTAAGTATATTGAAAAGAATGCACATTTCCAACATCAACGCCCTGTATATCAAAAACTAGTCAGTTAGGCTAATAAACATAAGGTTTTGCAAAATACCAAAAATTTAGAAAATTTCACATTTTTCGACAAAATGAAAGAACGTAAGGTGTAAGGTGTTTCATGTTATACCCTGTATATGTAAATAAAACCTCTTTTAAGCTATCATACACGTTTATTTCCTAATTTTAAAAACTAATTATTTATTCATCTCAAAAATCCACGAAATAAGAGACCTGTCATATAACTATACTTTTTTTTAACAATTTTTTTATTCTTTTTTTTAATCGGTTTTACGTCATCTTGACAATCTGCTACACTATTGATTAAATTCTCGAAACTTTTTTTAAGTGCTTCATTACTATAACAAATGGCTCCACCGCTCCTGTATTCATTGTTCTTCTAAAATAAAAATAAAAAAAAAGTTCACGTCAAGTAATTAATTTTGGAAGAAACATTAAAACACAATGATGAATTAAAAAAAAATGTTAGGGAATTCGTATATGTAAATCAATACCAATTTAGAAATAGTATTATTTAAAAGAACTTCTAATATTACAAGAAAAAATTAATCCAAATACTGAATTGTCCCGGCATCTACTGGATGGTAGTCAAAGTGTTTAGTTGTAGCTTAAACGACGATCGGTGAAAATAAAAGTTTACTGTTTTATTTTTATTTTTGGGAAGTCGAGATTACTGTAATTTTGAAAACTTATAGCATTTAATAATAGAGGTCTACCGTAGTAACTTTTTTAAATATTTATGTAAAACTGAAGAAAAATAATGGTAAATCATGCATAAAAGTAGGGTTACCGGGTGTCCGGATTTGCTTGGATATGTTTGGGTTTTTACTACGTCAGGATGTGTCCGGGTGGATTTTGCATAAACGTCCAAATTTGAAAGTAATTTTCTTTAGCTAGTTGGTGAAGTAAGTTCGAAAATCACAAACTCGATTGGACAATTTTCAAAAATACAAAAGTTCGAACGACAAAAGTTTGAAAGTGAGAAAAAATCGAAACCAAAAAAGATCAAAATTAGAACATATGATCGAAATTGCTAATAATCGAAATCAGATATGATCGAAATTAGATATGTGTGAACGTACTAACACTGAATACACTGAAGTGTAACTCTCGGGAAATTACATAAGAACGCTGTGGCAAATTTCGGTGACCTTCAGCCATCGAATTGGGTTCCTTTCGATTACCGCTCAGCACAAACGACTCTGACCAGTCCGGTCAGAGTCGGTTTGGTTTTATTTTAGATGTATACGAGGGAAAAAATATATTAAATTGAAATTCGATATTTTGATTGATTTTTTACTCTAAAGGATCCCGAGTTCGAAATCGGTTTTTGTAAATGAATTAGAAAGATATGAAAAAATGTTTCGAATAAAATATTTATAGAAAATATTCACTTTTAATTCATTTTCTAAACACTTGATTGTGTAGGACACATTAGATATATAAGGTTGGAGGTTACAAAATAATAAATATTTTACGTCTTGGTCACATTTGAGTTGGAATTATTTTATATTTTTAATAAATAAAAGTTATACAAATTTTGGTGCGTTCATCTTCTTGATCATGATACATTGGAGCAAAATAAGGGTTAAATAAAACAATTCATATTAAAGAAAATACATTTAATAATACGCTTTCTATTGATGTCTCCAAATAATCAATTTTGCTTCTTTCTACGTAAACTTACATTTGTTTTAAAATTTCGGTTTGCATATTTTAATGTATAATAGATTCGTAATCTACCATATAAATTAACTTAATGGGTACAGGGAAACTGTTTACATGGGTGAACAAACATAACTGTTTTAAACATACTAATTAATTGTTTAAGCCTTTTGCCTGAGAAGATATTGCTTCAAAATTGTCCAATATGGAAACAAAATTAACCCTTAACCATAAGTATTGGTTTTTTGTCTATAATTAGAAGTATGACACAGTATGGACACATACAAGGAAAATCATGGTACTAGGCGACCTTTTGGGAAATATTTATTAACTTAAAAATGAAAATGTTTGGTCGGCCGTGAAAAATAACATCGCTGATATTCGTTTTCTACTCGGTCTAATACTAACTCCCTGTAGTTTTCACACGCACTTGTGCAAAACGTATTGGAAAGCATTCGATAGCTTATATTGCGTATATCGATATACCATTGGCTCTTAGCTACTTTATTGTATATCTAAATCATTTTTAGAAAAGTGACATTTATTTTTGCTGTGTGCTCTTCAGTTTTTCTTTATTGACAACAAAAATTCAGATCAATAATTTTTTGTTTTACCTTATTTACCTTGTATCTTAATATTTTTAAAATAAAAATGTTTTTTTTTGCTTCTTTTGATTTATTATTAAAACTATATTTCATCAATAAAATAATGTCAAAAATACCTATCACTTTTCTTACTTTTCAGAAGAAATTTTTTAGAGTCCGGATTTTTTTATTAGCTTGCCCTGTCCAGAGAAACTTTTATCTGGTAACCCTACATAAAATAATATTCTCTTTTAAAACTTTTGTTGATTATCTTGAATCAAGTTAAAATAAGTTTTCTAATTGATTTTCTATTTTATAGAGATATTTAGGATACTCAAAAACAAATACCTACATACCGCTCCTTTTCTAGAATAGAGACACAATCAAAAAACATTATTTTTCACAGCTATTTGAGTTTTTTTATTATAAATCAATATTAATATGAAAGTTTTAATAATTACAAGTATTTTGTAATAAAATTAATTAAAATAATAGTATTAGTTACAATATGTCATTATTTCTTTAATAATGTCCATTAAGCAGAGCATATTTATCATAAAAACTAACTATTTAAAATTTTTATGTCCTTTTATCGATAATTCTACATTAATTTTAGCAACAGTTTCGATAATACGTCACTATTGACGACAAAACACAAGTTCATTCCTGGGATAATACCCACCAAGTAAATAAATGATGATGTTCTTGATAATTTATGTTAAAATTCAATTTTTAAGCATAATGACATGATTGTTAAAGTTTATGCTGTTTTGGTTTAAATTTTAAATTAAAATTAATATTACAATTTTTTTTATTGTGTCACTATTCTAAAGAAGTAGCGATATATGAAAATGCCACTAGTAACATTTTTCTTTTTTTTTTTTTTTGTTAACATATTTGTTGGTTTTAACACATTTGAAGACAATATGTTATTACAAAATATCACTCATAAAGACGTTTATTATTATTTTATTATTAATTACACTCTGGAATTTCAAACTTTAAAAAGGATTGTGTAGAATATTCCACACTTGCATAAATAAATAAAACCTCTTTTTAACTACTATCATACAGACTTTATTTCTGATTTTTAGAAAAACCAATTTACAAATTATGCAATCATCTATCATAAGTGTTCTCAAAATCCTTTATATATGTAAATTCTATTCGATGAAGGTTTTTGAACTTTTTTTTTAACGGGTCCGTGAATAGTTCTATTAATTGGTTTTACATCGTCTCGACATTCTGCTACAGTACTGACTAAATTCTCTAAACTTTTTTTAAGTTTTCCATCACTAAAACAGATGGCTCCACCACTTCTGTATTCGTGGTTCTTCTAAAATAGAAATTTAAAAAATGTGTAAGGAAATATTGTTTGCCATTTATTAGATTATTGAATTTAAATCCTAATATTAAAAAAATTATAAAGCAATTTGCAGACCGATATTGTCTATAACCAGGGCCGGCGCTAGGGGCGGCCAAACCAGGCCTCTGTCGGGGGCGGCAACCTTAAGAGGTAAAAAAAGGGTAGTAAAATTAACTAGTTTATGAAGAAAATGATTAAAGCAAGATTGATTAATTATGAGAAATTTTACGAATTTTTATAGGTGCCCACTCACTTAAAAAATTCTCAAGCATGAGAACAAAATAATAAGTTGTAGTTTTTAAATAAACACGTTTTAAAAGAAAAGTTTTCGTGTAATAAAGATCAAATCCAAAACAACCAAAAATACAGAGCAATATAGATAAAATATCAAAATATTTCAAGGAAATCGCTCACAAGCATAATAAACTTCCTCCTAAAATTCTAATGTGTCCAACACATGACTTTCCTATCTAGTTAGTATTGGCTTTCTCCAGTTATTTTATACAACCTATTGTATCGCCCCTGTAAATGTTTAGGAGTTACACTAAATATATATTTTCTCCACACATATCTTACTCGAAAAATTTTTTTATACATATTCACTGACAACGAAAATTCAGAAAAAATAAATTTTTATACTTTTTCTTAAATTTTTCTATTACGGTCTATTTTAGAGATTTCACGTATGGAACAAGAGGTGTTTTCGAAAATCTACTATAGATCATAAATCCTGATTACTGGGTTTACCCGATGAATTACGTGGATCACTGAACTTAATGCGGATAGTTTACGAACGAGTTGGTTTAATGATCATGTTTATCAACGATCAATTTTTGACTTTACCCGCATGACATTTAATATTTAAAACCCTTATTTGTTTAAGACCCATTTTATTTTAAATAACCTATTTCCTATAGCAAGTATGATTTTGGGGGGAGGGGGGGTGATGGAGTTTTTATCTGTAAATCTTAAAAGAAAACTTCAAAATTACTACTATCACACCAAATACAAAAAAGTTAAGTTATTCTGTTATTCCTCTATAAAATCGTGTTGTACACATTTAGATCTATTACTAATCTACTTGCAGAGAGAATCACGAAATATTAATATTAATGATGGTGGGTGAGGTTTTCCGGGTTTTCCTCACCTGTAAGTCAAATGGCACCATTAATCATCTTTAAGTCGCCCCGGAGCGCCACGGCAAATAATAATAATAGCCGTCCCTTCCCCTACACAAGTCGTTCAGTCGACTTCAGGGGTTGAAATTCACTCGTAAGGGGGTGAATTAGGGAGAGTATTATTATTATTATTATTATTATTATTAATCTCGATCACAAAACTGGATCATCAATCTACTAGTTTCCGAAAACGGATAAGATTAGTAACCCTAGGTAAACGAACAATACGATTTGTAATCTTCTGATCCGAATAAGTTATAAAAATCGCCTAAAAATTATAGAGATTGATATCGCAAACGTCCTTCTCGAACAGGGACCATTTTAAGACAATTATGTATATAACAAAACATCTGGAGAATACAAGCAACTTTTGTTTAAAGAATTTTCTTCTCCAAGCGTAAATAACAGTTATATTTCATAAAGAAGAAAAACCATTATATAGAACATATGCATAGAACAAGAATGATAGAGAATGACATTACAAACAATTTTATTTAAACAATTTTCACAAAAACTTGATTTTGCACTTTTGTCAAATATCTCGAATACGGACCATTTTAGGAAAATTATGCATAAAATGAAAATTATATAGAATATAATTATAAAAAACTTTTATTTAATGAAATTTTTTCTCCAAACGTGAACAACATATATATTCCATACCTGGGTCATATAGTCAAGCAAGAATAGCGTAGTTGTAGATAAGAAGAAAGTCGCTTTCATCAAACAGTGGCTACAACCAACTGATAAAATTCAAACAAAAAATTTTTGTCGGGCTGTGTATATACTACCGAAGATTCATATGGAAGTTCGCAGATATTGCTAAGTCACTAATATGACTTACAGAAGAAGCGAGAGAATTCTACTGGGACGAAGACTCCCAAACTGCTCTTGAAACTTTAAAGAAGCATTTAACCACTTCGCCACTACTAGAGAGAGAATTTAATCTAAATACTGATGCCCGTAATGCGTGAATTGGAAGAGTGCTTTTTTAGATTCAGGAAGGGTAAGAAAGAATACTTTTAGTAAAGTGCTCTCTAAATATAAAAGAAATTATTGCGTCACGAGAAGAGAACTTCTGGCAGTTCTAAAGTGCGTGGAACACTTCTGCCAATGTCTATATGAAAGGAAATTTTTAATCCGTACCGATCATGTATCTCTTAAGTGGAAGATACAGTCTAAGAACTTGGAATGTCAAATCGTCAGATTATGGATTAAACGACTTCAGGAGTACGACTTTAAGATCGAAAATCAAGTCGAAATAGGCCACAGAAATTCAGATTGTCTTTCTAGAAAACCGTGCCCATTAGAGTGATTTCACCGCAACAGAGCAGAATCTAAAGAAAATTGACTACCTGCTAAAATAAGGCAAGAACGATCCCGTTTTAAAGAAGATGCGATAATGGAAAGAGGAAAATCTTCGTCCAGTGAGACTTTTTATCCTGCAAGAAGGCTTATTACAGCAAGTACTTGAAAATGATGATTGTTCCGAAAACAGAAAACAGTTGGTTATTCTACAGACTAGAATAGCCACAGTACTTCATTAGTAATACGACAGTCTATCAAGAGGACATCTCGGTGTTAAGAAAACCTTTCAGAAAGTTCATAAAAGGCTTTACTAGATGAACAGTTTTGATGATGTAAATGACTGGTGTAAGAAATTTATCACCCGTGCTATGAGAAATAGACCCTAACGACATAGAAAGACCCCCATGAAGCAGTAGGATTGTCTTAGATAATGCTGGACTATTTGTTATTACCGAGGATGGTAATAAATACAAGATGGTTGTTATGGATTATTTCACAAAGTAAGTAGAAGTCTACGCCATTCCAAATCAAGAGGCTAGGCAACGGTTACAGACTTGTTAATCAGAGAGTTTATCAGTCGATTCGGAGTGTTCTTGGAGATCCACATTAATTAATGCAGAAATTTTAAAAGTCAGCTTTTCCGAGAAATTCGTGACAGACCAGGCATGAAGAAAATCAGTACTACGGCATTGCACTCACAGTCGGATGGAATAGTAAAGCGATTAAATAAGACCATTGCCAAATACCTGTTAAAAGTAGTTTCCAACAATCAGAGAGATTAGTATCATTATCTTTCGCACTTCGCAATAACACATAGGTCAGCTCGTATTAAATCAACAGGCCAAATATCAGTAAAAGTCCTGTTTGGGCCGATGAAGATTACTTGATTAAGCTACTAAGAAAAACGGAAGAAATGTATGAGTTGGTTCGCTCGCATCTTCAAATCGCCAGCAACAGGATGCAAAAACGGTACGATACCTAAGCTACAGAAGGATCTTTTAAGGAAGGCGATATAGTCTGGCTTATTATCCCAAAACGACAAAACAACAATTCTCCAAAGCGTCAAAGGTCTTGAGAAGGGCTTATGTAGTTAAAAATTAATAGTGTCATTTACCTTATAAGTAAGATCTCAATCGGTAAACCAAAGATAGTGCACCAAAACCGGCTGGCGCCATTTTATGGTAACAATACAGAAGAAGTTAACCGGCTCCAAAAAACACCTGATCTTGTCTTTGCGAGTACCAGATAAGCAAGATATGGTATTACAACCGAGCAAGAATATTTGCTCACAGTTCCTAAACATAACTCGCTGGTCCATAGTACTTTTGCCAGCATCAATGACGCTAAAGGTATGGCATCTGTGTTCCGGAAGAACTTTGGTCAATTATCAGTACCTCAAGGTCAGTTTTCAGCCCCTGGAAAAGCCTTAAAACTTCAAAATCGATCGGCGTTACGTTTTTGATTTGGTAACAAAGAATGCCTCTCGAGATCGATCCACTTATGATGTATGGGAAACATAACTTAGTCTGAGGTTGCACGAACTAGAGTTCGATGTACATAAACTAGCCATGCCAAAGATCGAATATAACCAGCTGACTTGGAGGATCATTAAAAACATGGTGGAAGTAATCTTCCAATATACCGAGGTTCAAATACTGGTCTGCAGCCACTCACCCAGTGCCTAATTTACAGCGAAAATCGTCCCTTGTTACTACTAAGTAAATGGAAATTATAAAAGAGGGTCTAGTTGCAGATATAACCATTCAGTTTTAGTTTCAGGAGGAACTACCTCTTAAGGAGGGGGGCAACGTCTATGTAAATGGAAATTATCAAAGAGGATCTAGTTACAGATGCAACCATTCAGTTTTAATTCCAAGAGGAACTACTATCTCCTAAGGATGGGTCAATGTTGAGCGCAGCCATTTTTAGCTGGTTTAGCTCTGTTCTTTATTGACCTTTGCAGTATGTGTGTCCACGCTCCGCGCATGCCTCGAGACTTGAGAAATGGACTACAATGTTGGCTCTATACACAGTAAAATGCGTTAATAAAGAATTTCGAGGACCTTCCAGTCTAGTATGGAGCTTCTATTCAGGATTGCATTTTTATAGGCTGTTACATTTTTGTATAAATAAAGAGATTTTGTCGACAGAACTTTAATTTTCAATTTAAATGTTGTCAAGTAAAGATAATTTGTAAAATAAATTAGAAGTGTGAATTATAATAGTGCTTAAATATAAATAAATTAATTAGTACTGGGTGTAAATAAATTATAATTAGAAGGTTTTAATTTAATAAACTATTTTTTAAATAATCAATCGTTACAATATGGTCGAAACAAATATTTATTCCTACAAAGGGACGGTATTTTACCTTTGTGCCCGGACGGCCTAACTGCTAGCGCCGGCCCTGCACTACCACTGACAAAATATTAGAAATAAACGACACGCACTTTTCTTTTGCAAAATGGTTTTACGTTAAATTTCATAATTTTAAAGGTACAGGTTTTTGCAAGATAATAAATCCTAATTATTATATTCTTATAACTTAAAAAATGGGTTTTTACATAAAATAGATTTTTTAAATAGAAGTCGCTTAGGTATTAGATTGCAGATGAGTCCATTAATTTTTGTTTTATTTTTTTGGGTTCTTTTTGAAAAGGTTTTTTTATGAAATTTGTGATCTAATTTAACGCCATTTTAGCCGTTAGGTTTTAGTCTTTGTGTTAAATGTTGTTTGACTTATTTTTTATACGTAATTTTTATTTTATAATAATTGCATATTGGAAGCCTTATTAATATTTGCCCAACTTAAATGGACAACTCCTTTTTTTTAAATCAAACAGTTTTAATAATAGGCCATCATCAGGTCTATAAGTAAGGAGAAAAGAGGTGTTACAAGGATATATATGAATATAAAAATATACATATATAAAGGCGCGTACAATACTGCTAAAGCCTCTAAAATTGTTTAAAAATTATTTAATTGTAAGTGTAGGATACCAAGCTCTGACATGGGCAAGGTAATTACAAGAAATTCACAAAACATATGGGGACAAAATTGTCAGAAAAGTTAATTAAATAGAGTAGTCAGAAAAATATTAAAAAATACAATCTTGAGGTCTGTTCCAATAACGATCAGAAACCAGTCACTGACACCAGGATTCTGCGCAGTATATAATTTGGCAGTCGAAATATTCAACTGTGCAGAAACCTCGTGACTGGTTTCTGATATATATTTAAATTAGTGAACAAAAAAGGAAGATATGTTATACAGCAACACTACCATTAGTGGAGGAGTGTTGCTTAAAAGTGGTTCTGACCAAAAGCGACTGATCAAAGAATGCTATGAGTAATTACCTCTATAGGGTATAGAGGACGTCCAATGGCTAAAACGTATATTAATGTAGTGGACAGACAGATCACATGCTGTGTTTAAAAAAGGTAATAGTTTGACCTAAGAGTATAAAGTGAGGTTACATTAATAGGCTCCAACATGAAAGAATATTCCCTACCAATGAACAGTAGGGAATATTGGAGAAGAGTTCAGAATGAAGAATGTCTACAAAATGATCTCCCATATCTAAAAAGTAAAAGTCAAACAGGTTGAACGGAGTATCTAATATGTATTAATATCCAAAATATATGACATTAAACGGACATCATTTTGCATAAGAAAAGCGCGGGGGTTCTCTATACTAAAACATCATCAGTCGTGATAAAAAATAAGTAAAATATACATACCGCTCTATTAAGATCACCAATACAGAACCAAAACGTATCTGATTCATTTTTAGTTATGGCCCATTTTGACTGGTCAACCATTGAGTAAAATCTTGCTCCAGCTTCATTGATGTAGACGGAATTAACATTGTTTATGCTAAAAAAAAAAACAAATACAAAGTGAGTACTATGTAACTGAAACAGGATTTTTAAAGAGGTCCTTTCGCCACCAATGTTAAATAAAAAATATTAGATTATGACTAAAATTAATTTTTTTCTAATAGTAGATGTATTTTTGAGAATTTTTTTTTTAAAATGTGTGTGTTTGTACAGTGTCTTATGAGAAAGTAAGACCTTTTGATTAGATGGAGTAGAAAAAAACTAAAAATAAGGTTTTTGAAATATTTAGGTTTTGTTTTTTACAATAAAATATATAGGTTACCGTGGAATTTATTGAGAAATTATTATTAAAAAATCACAAAAAATTTTCAACTAGGTTACTTGAAAATTTTTTGTGATTTTTTAATATTAATTTCTCAATAAGTTCCACGGTTTACTATATATATTTTATTTTATAAAACAAAATCTAAATATTTCAAAAACCTTATTTTTAGTTTTTTTCTACTCCATCTAATCAATAAATAATAGTATAATTCGAGAATTGTTGTTGAGGACTTACTTTCTCGTGAGGCACTGTACAAATACTCACATTTAAAAAAAAATTCTCAAAAATTTGCAAGGTAAGGTATAGTTAAAAGTTCAGTATTAGATAAATAAGGACTTCAACTATTAGAAAAAAATTAATTTTAGTCATAATCTAATAACTTTTTTTTAACATTTGAGGCGAGAGGTGTGGCGAAAGGACCTCCTTAAGAACAATTTTATTAAGTAAAATATCCTTATTCGACAAAGGCTAGACAAAATCTACTTAAGTGCAAAACGGACCTCTTGCGAAAGCAAAAATGTTTTAAGGATTTTCCAATATAGAATTGTATTTATATGCGCTCCACTGGAAATATTTCGTGATAATATGTGTCTTGGCAATATTGAGAGCTTTAAAGTTGGGCAAGCACTCTTCAGAGACATCTAAAAAAGGTGGAAATTCCTTCCATTCAAAAACTACTAGATATTTATAAAAACAAATAGCAGAAAATTTTTATAGATTTAATACAGAATGGCGCGTAAATGTTTTTTTTTTAATTTCTTTTAAATTTTTTCAAGATAAATACTTTTCGAGGGTTATAAAGTTTTGTTGTTGTTGGTATTTCCTGAAAATTTCAAGGCCCAAAAGAAGTTATTAATTTTCAAAGTATTTGGTTTGTTCTTGCTAAAGAGTGTAATAAAATATGATGGAAAAATGTAACTCACATACATTTTTAGGTGTGGATTATTTTTTTGAGAGGCACATTATTTGGGTGATGCATTTTTTTAAAATATTTTATCTTACTTGGTTTATTTCTTGGGACGATAAAATTTTGTGTATTTTTTTTTGAGTAAGTATTTATTTGGGGTAAATAATTTTTTGAGGTAGGTATGGTATCCCCAGTAATAATTTGACATTTTATAAAAGCTGAAAGAATATTTACAATACAAAATTTATAAAACAGATCAATTAACTAATAACATTTCAAGATGTTTTGCTATTTTTTACTATTCTCTGAAAAGCAGGTACCACCTATTTTTTATATTTCTTCAATTATTTAAATCTGACACTTTCAGACCATACACTCACATACAAATGGTATGAGAAGTAGTTGAACAAACTTAAAATACAAAATAAAATGGTGTAGGTACTAAAAAATGTAGTTGCTTTAATTTTTTTTATAAATATTTTTAAAGGGATAATACTATTCTTAAGTAATATTATTGATTTATAATAGCTCTGTATTGTTTTCTAATTTGCAGAAGTGTATTTCGACACTACATTACAATTATTTTAGAGTGTTTGTCAGAAAAAATTGCTATTAATGCAAAATTATCTCACACGATTATTTATATAACTATTTTTTAAAGCTTAAGAAACAGTTCAATTTCTATGACCAAAAAGTTGTAAAGGTGATCCAAAGCAACAATATAGAATCACTATAAAGCAATTTGATTTTATTAGCTGGACTGTTGTATAGAATAGTTGTATAAATGGTTATGTAACAATTTTATAGTTATCGTGAAAACTATTACATAATTTTGCTGTAAGAATATTGTAAAAACTAATTTATATAACAATTTAGCTTCAAAGAACAAAATAGTGGTTTCTGCAATTTTAGTACATTTTTAGGCGCCTAAAGTTTTATTCGTATTTCTAATATTTTCTCTGTCTGAAACAAAAATTAAATTTATTCAAATAGCTTTTTTTAATAATAGGATTATTATTTAAATCATATGTGGCAACCCCCGGCCCGCAGGACCAAAATATAGAGTTAGCACACAGTTTATTTGTAATTATAATAATAAGCGTGCGAAGTGGAACGCTACTGTATTCTTTAACTCATAATGACTAAAATTGATAGATAATATTATTAAGCGCACACAGTAGAACGCTACAGATCATGTCAGAAATAGTCGTTCGGAAGAAACATTCGGGATGCCGCCCGATGCGCTTGAAGCACTAGCGTACGATCGAGAGTATTCTAGTTGCTTATTGGAGGTAATATATAAACCGCTCAGCGCGCGTCACCTCATTACTTCATAACAAAGGACAAAGTTCGCATCGCATATTCACGTACGATTGAGAGTACGACGCGGAAAATATTTAACCCTTTTGACCCGCTTGGGCTCTATATGTCCCGGCGAGAATTGAAAATTTCTATTTGGTATAAATATGACGCAATGTTAATGTGTTATTTGATTAATGGTATTCTTCAAGCATATTCTTGAAAACAGAGAAGTTCTGGTAACGTGGCTTGTTGTTTACCGGTCATTTTTTCACTTAATTACAAAAATTCTAGACGTGTTTGAAGCTTTTTTGCGTTGTTTGTGTTATTTACAGTTCTTTCATGAAAATTTTAGCATGTAATTAAATTTAAACATAAATTTATTATAAACATAATAACTATTCGTAAAATTTATTTTAAAAACGAAGTAAAAAACATGTCATTTTCTACTGGGACAAAAATATCCCAGTGGTATTTACAAGTAGGACGTATAAAAACCAGTGGTTTTTTTTACAGTATGTCGAAGAAAGCACTATTAGAAAAAGAATTAAATTATTAAGCAAATGTTTCTAAAGATGAAGATATAGATGATGATAGGGATAAAGATTATGAAACCGAAACAGAATCTTTTACATCAGGTGAGGATAGGGAAATAAGTGAAGATGACGGAGAATCTTTAGATAGTGAAAGATAATCTTCAGATAGTGAAAGAAAATGTAGAAACGATGATCGCACAGAAAATGAAGACCAAAATCAAGAAATACAAGTAAACAATAAAAATCAAGGATCAGCATTTCTGCAAAAAATACGTGTGAGTTAGACAAAGGATTTACAAGATCTTTGACATGCATTGAGGTGTTCAAAAAATTGTTTCCTCCAATTTTGATTATCTCTATTTTTGAATTTACAAATAAAAGGTTGACAATATTAGAAAAACAGAAAAAGTAGCGCACTACTAAAACCGATGTAGGTGAAATGGAAATTGCTTTAGGATCTTCCTTAGTAATGAGTTGTAACAGATTGCCATGATCTTAGACATTATTGGTCTACACATCCTTCAGTAAAAAATGCACTAATAGTATACTAATAGTATTTGTAGAAATAGATTTACATTGTTATTATCTAAATTATACATAAATGATACAGAAAATCAGGGTACCTCTAAAACATATTATTTAGATGAACTAGTGAACTGTCTAAAGTCAACATTTTCAAAATGTCGAGCAGATTCTTCCAGACAAAGTATTGATGAAAGTATGGTAAAATTTAAAGGCCGTTCTGGACTAAAGCAATATTTACCAATGAAACCAACTAAAAGAGGAATTAAAATATGGGTTAGATGTGATTCTTGCAATGGTTAGTTATGACATGAATATTTATGCTGGCAAGGAAGATCAGCAACAAGACGGAACTCTTGGCAAAAGAGTTGTATTCAAATTAGCCAGTACGATAAAGTCACCAGATGTCGTATTATGTTTTGACAGATTTTTTTGATCAGTAAAACTTATGACTAGCATTCCATTTCCATCAGTTGGAACTGTTATGGTAAATAGAAAAAATATACCAAATATTACAAAAAAATTAAACAGAGGAAAGTCCGAAATTCTTGGAAATAAGTATGGTACCATTTGTGTCAAATGGCAAGACAACACAGAAGTTACAGTGCTTAGCAACTGCCATGGAAAAAACTTGACTGCTGTTGTGGAGTGGAGTGGAGTGGAGTGGAGTGGAGTGGAGTGGAGTGGATTTAGCTGACCAAATGTCAAGCAAGTCCGGTATATGGTAAAAAAAAGCTTTTTTTAGGTTACATATACGTCCCACTTGTCAATGTCAAAAATCAAAATTTTTGAAACTTTACGTATTCTGGAAAATATATTTCTAAAACATATTAATCATTTTTTGTTTTAAATCTTGTAATATTGAAAATATAAAAGTGGGGCTGAAAGGGTTAAGCAGAAACATATCTGGTTCAGAAAAGTGGAAAGTAGATACAGAATGTCAATTCCAAGATAAATGGATTGATGAATACTTTTTTATCTTGCACAGTGCTAAACCTATGTATTTATTCTGCAATTAAACAATTTATGTTTTAAAAGAATACAATATAAAGCGGCATTACTCAAGCAAGCATTTTGCTCAATATAATTCACTAATTACCGATTTAGGCAACAAATGCTCCATTCACAAAGATCAAATCTAGACCGTGTTGTTAAAGCTAGTTCTAACATAGCGAAAATATTGAAGTCATTTTCTAAAGGACAGTTTGTTAAAGAGTGCTTAGTAGACGTTGCAGAACTTTTGTGCCCAGAAAAGAAGAAAGAGTTTGAGAAAGTGAGCTTATTGCGACGTACTGTTGTTCGACGTATAGATATGATGGCTAGTGATATCAAAAAAACATTGTCTGAAACATTAGCTGGCTTTCAATTATTTTCAATTGCTTTAAATGAGAGTACAGATTTATCTGACACAGCACAGTTAGCTATTTTGTATGAGGTGATGATGAAGA